AGACGATAAGGGCTGTGAAAAGGACCAGCCAGAATACCCTTTGTGAGGTCGAACTGAGTGCCTTCATAATTGTCGCGGAAGATATCCATCACCTCCTCCAGACCAAGCAGATGGTCCGCCGGCACAGAGAAAGGCAGGTCGAAGGGATTCTCGTGGAACTCAGGTGTAGCGCTTGGTAACACACGACGGAACACCGACCAGATCCTGACACTGCTGTACATGGGCAGCTGTAGAGTTACCGTACCATACACACGAATCCAGCTGAAGGGCTCCTGGCCGTCCCATAAGCCCATAGTCAATGCTTCCGAACGTAAATTGGAAGAGAACATAAAGTCTTCATTAGCCGTTTGTGGTATCTCCTTGATCGTGAACTGGTTAGCAATAGCGGCAACGTGACCGTCAGGGACCCTCTGGGCTGCCCATACTGCCGATTTACCAGTGGAGTCTTGCGCTATGTGAAATACCCATCCATCGCCGGTCGCATCAATCAATGTTAGAGTCTCTCCAGTCTGCCAGTTCTCCGGGTAGAAACCATACCGCTCGGCCATAGCGCCCATGCTCTGGATGGCACAGACCGCAGTCTTACAGCGTTCCAGCCCGATCATAGTCAGCTCTCGTATAGAGAACACCGCTGGGCCGTATTCACCAGTGGCTGGGTCCGGCAAGTCTACTCCTGGCTTCCCAGGGACGCTGACCTCAGTCGTGGACTCCCCCATCGCAAGGCCATGCTCGTTCATCATGCCATATTCCGACTCCCAGTAGCCGAACGTATAAGGCGCCTCAGGAACAGTCGCATTGATAGAGGTAGCGATATGGTTGGGGTCATTGTAGATGGCTGCACGGTCGGACCAGGTTCGGGGGTAAAGATGGCCGATACCATACACTGCATGGACGGCGCCGCTCGGATGATCTCGAGGAGGGATCAGAGCAAGCCGCGTGTCACACTCGGAACAATCAGCTGTGTGAGCTACCATCGGTACACCGGTCTTGGAAGCGCCTTTCGACACGATTATCGTAGTGCATGCAATACACACTGATAACGGCAATAGCGCTAGTCGGAGTAGTAATGTTATGAGCATGTGGGAATTAAAGCAACTACACAACAGAGGTCCATACCACACGTTGCAATACTCAACCACCAGCGAGACTAGGCATGACTCGAAACATGATCAGTGCGGGGCTGAGGCTAATAGAGAGGACCCAGTTGGCCGGGTCCTTCTTGTTGAATTCTCAGTCGCAAAGTTCAGATAGCTAGTCGTCTGGTGAGGCAGGACACTTCAACGAAGACACCCAGCTTAGCATGAACGGGGAAATGCAACTTAGCTCATTGGTATTCATGTAGACATCATCGGCCTTGGCTTGATCGTCTCGGCCGAGCGGTAGCTGATAACCCTGAGTACCTCGAACAAGGATAGACCTTACACCCACTCCTTGGGTTCATAACCTACCGTGGTCGGAAAGTACAGGAGGTAATCAATATACGGGAAAGGCAACCCATTTTCCTTCCAGTGCTTACTCTCAACTTTCCTCTCTTCCATGGTCGAGTGAGAGGAAGTGCCTCTCGATGATCCGGAGGTCTACGAGGAAGCTAGAAGACACTACGCCGTATTTACCTTTAAGAATACGGCCTATATTAATAATCGGGGATACATATCTTTATATTATGCTCTACATGAAATACTATATCATTGGTTTATTGATATTTATTATATTATGAATAGATGTATGAGTATAAGTAATATCAACAAAACAAATATTAATCTATATAATAGGTAATATTGTAGAGGACATGCACTCGAGGCTGCTACTACTCGAACATGTGACGACCACCCCCCGAGATTGCCCTCTTGATGGTGCTTGAACAGACCAAGCTAGAGCTAGCGACAGCCGACACAGAATGCCTGTAGTTAGCGATAGCTTCTGGGATGGGAACTGATAATTGTATTATATAGTTGAAGCGTTGGTACTTGTTAGTGTTCTGCCGGACTGGACTGAACTATGCGTCA